GCGCAGTGGCTCGGCCAGCCCCAGGCCTCCCTGGCCCCCCTGCCTGTGTCTGCTGCTCTGGGCCGCCGGAGCTGCCGTGCCAGCTCGGGCAGGCCCCTCTGTGTCTGTCTCCGTCTCCTCTCCAGGCCTCACCTGCCACGCAACCTCCTCCTCTCTGGTCATGACCCATTATGGTGTCCTGGCCTAATTTGCATATTATCTCTTTATTTGTATAGATGTTGACTAAGAAAATAATGGAGAAGATGCAAATAAGTAAAATCAGAAAGAACATTCTGTGGGTCAACTTTGCAGGTTTCTGATTCATGTTGCATTTACTTTTGTTTATGATATAAGATAAAGGTCCAACTTCATTCTTTTGCACGTGGACATCCAATGTCCCAGCACCATGTGTTGAAACACTTCATTCAATAACCTTGGGGTCTTTGTGGAAAATCATTTGACCATATATGTGAGGGTTTATTTCTAGATTTTCTATTCTGTTCCATTTAACTATCAATTTAATGACAGAACAACACTTACTTTGCTGTAGTTTTGTACTATGTTTTAAATCAGCAAGTGTGAGTCCTTGAACTATCTTTCTTTTTCAAGATTGTGTCATTATTTGGGGTCCCTTGAGATTTTACCTGAACTTCAGAATAGGCTTTGTATTTCTTCAAAAGACGCCATGGGGATTCTGATGAGGATTTTATTGAATCTGTAGATTGCTTTAAGCCCCAGTGGCTTCTTAACAACACTAAGTCTTCCAGTCCATGAACACAGATGTTTTTCCATTTAAGTCTGTGTAAATTTATTTCAGCTATGTTTTATACTTTTCCATTTATAAGTCTTTATCTCAGTGGCTAAATATACTCCTAAGTATTTTATACTTGCTATTGCTATTGAAAATAGAATTGTTGCCCTAGCCCAGTAGTTGGCAAACTGCGCTCACAAGCCACATGCGGCTCTTTGGCCCCTTGAGTGTGGCTCTTCCACAAAATACTGACTTCTGCCCATGGGCCACAAAGTTTCAATCGCACTGTACGTGCATGCCCACATGTGGTATTTTGTGGAAGAGCCACACTCAAGGGGGCAAAGAGCCGAATGCGGCTCGTGAGCCGCAGTTTGCCAACCACTGCCCTAGCCGGTTTGGCTCAGTGGATAGAGCATCAACCTGGGGACTGAAGGGCCCCCGGTTCTATTCCAGTCAAGGGCATGTACCTCGGTTACAAGCTCCAGGCCCTGGTCCCTGGTCGGGGGCATTTAGGAGGCAACAAATTGATGTGTCTCTCTCACATCTGTGTTTCTCTCTGTCTCTCCATCTCCTTTCCACTCTCTCTAAGAATCAATGAAAAATATCCTCGGGTAAGGATTTTTTTTAAAAAAGAAAGATAATAGAATTGTTTGCTTAATTTCATTTTTGGATTGTTCATCACCACTGTATCTTATAAAAATGTAACTAAGTTCTGTTTCTGTAAAATTATTAGGAATGTTCTTTTCTTTCTGATTTTACTTATTTGCATCTTCTCCATTATTTTCTTAGTCAACATAACTAAAGGTTTGTTCATTGTGTGGAAGTTTTTGAAGACCCTCTCTTGGTTTTATAATTTTCTCTGTGTTTTTTTTTAAATTCACATTTTATTTACCTCTGCACTAACCTTTATTATTTTCTTCCTTCTGCTACTTTAGTTTAGGGTTTATTTTTCCCTTCTTTATCAAATTTCTTTGATATACAATATGTTATTGATTTACAATTTTTTCTCTTTTTAAATGTATGTATTTACAGCTATAAATTTCCTCTCACACTGCTTTGTCTGCATCATATGTTTTGATGTGTGGTGTTTTCATTCTCACTTTCCTCAAGGTATTCTCTAATTCCTCTTGTGATTTCTTCTTCGAGCCATTGGTTTTTGGGGTGTGTTGCTTGATTTCTTTTTATTTGTGGGTACTTTATTTTCCTTCTGTGATTGCTTTCTAGTTGTATTTTGCAAACTGCTTCCCCAGTTTACTGCTTGAATAGTTCTTATGTAGATTCCAGTCATGGCCTTGTCATCCATACTCTGTGACAATGCTGCATGCATAGGTGTTTTTATTTATAGCAACTGGTTTCTATAACAGTCAGAAGAGATGTGTGTGGTAAACAGAGCAATGTACCCCACCCCACAAAAGAAGTTTATTCCTTAATACCCAGAGCCTGCAAATATTTTACTTTATATGGTAAAAGAGATTTTGGAGAAGTGATTAAATTAAGACTGTTGATATAAAAATACTAGAGGCCCGGGGATGGGAGGTGTCCCTCAGCCCAGCCTGCACCCTCTTGCAATCCGGGAATGCTCCGGGGATGTCCAGCTGCCAGTTTAGGCCTGATCCTGGCAGTCAGACATCCTTCTTGCAATCCAGAACCACTGGCTCCTAACAGCTCGCCTGCCTGATCACCCCTAACCACTCTGCCTGCCTGCCTGATCGCCCCTAACCACCTCTGCCTCAGCCACCATGGCTTTGTCTGGAAGGACTCTGGAATGACATCTGGAAGGTCATTCAGCTGTCCCGTCTAATTAGCATATTATGCTTTTATTATTATAGATTATCCTAGATTATTAGGTGGGGATAATATAATCACAAAGGTCCTTACAAAAAGGTGGTAAAAAATTGAAGTTAGAGAAGAGCAAGTGACAATGGAAGCAAGAGGTTGGAGTGCTAGGCAGATGGGAACCATGAGGAAAGGCGTGCGGGCAGCCTCTAGAATTTGGAGAGGCAGAGAACAGAGCCCCCAGAAGGAATGTAGCTCAGTGATGCCTTGAATCTAGTCCAGTAGCACCAACTTTGGATTCTGACCTCCAGAACTATAAAATAACAGATTTAAATAGACGGAATGGCTGAACGCCTGGTCACTATGACGCACACTGACCACCACGGGGCAGACGCTCAATGCAGGAGCTTCCCCCTGGTGGTCAGTATACTCCCACAGGGGAGTGCTGCTCAGCCACAAGCCAGGCTGACGGCTGGCAAGTGCAGTGGCAGTGGGGGGAGCCTCTCCCGCCTCCATGGCAGCACTAAGGATGTCCGCCAGTCGGACATCCCCCAAAGGCTCCCGGATGGCTAAAGGACCCAGGCTGGGCTGAGGGATCCCCCACCCCTCAGTAGTGCACAAATGCTGTGCACCAGGCCCCTAATATAACATGATTTGCTATGTGAAAAAATTCTCAGGAATTTAAAACATTGTTTTACTTTTAATTTAACTGACACGTTCACTGTGTGTTGTGAGCGCTGCACATCACTGTCACTCAATTACCCAGGCTGATGAAGTTGACCCCATTATGACATGTGAGTCTCCAGGGAAGTGGAAGTTGATCCATAGAGGTTCTTGCAGTTAAATGCAAATCCCACATAACACAGCCATTATCTCTGCTCACAACTCAGTGGTCTAAGGAAGTCTCATGGTCCCCCTGGCAATGGTCTAGAAGTATGACACTCCATGAGGCCAGAGAGTGGAAAGCAGAAATATTTGGGGAACAGTGACACTTCCAGAGATGATATGGGCCTTAAACGCACCCTTTTTTAAAAAATTCCATGTTAATCAATTTATTATTATAATGACAATACAGATGGCATCTTTTCAGTTCACCATTACATTCATGCTATGGATAACAATGCTTCTTCTATTATGAATGCTACTTGATTCTTTAAAAACACATTATTTATGTCCTGGCTGGCTTACTCATTTGGTTAAAGCATTTTCCCAATACACAAAGGATGCGGGTTCATTCCCGGGTTATTGCACATACATGAGTCAACCAATTAATGCACAAATAAGTGGAACAACAAAATGCTATGTGAAAAAATTCTCAGGAATTTAAAACATTGTTTTACTTTTAATTTAACTGACACATTCACTGTGTGTTGTGAGCGCTGCACATCACTGTCACTCAATTACCCAGGCTGATGAAGTTGACCCCATTATGACATGTGAGTCTCCAGGGAAGTGGAAGTTGATCCATAGAGGTTCTTGCAGTTAAATGCAAATCCCACATAACACAGCCATTATCTCTGCTCACAACTCAGTGGTCTAAGGAAGTCTCATGGTCCCCCTGGCAATGGTCTAGAAGTATGACACTCCATGAGGCCAGAGAGTGGAAAGCAGAAATATTTGGGGAACAGTGACACTTCCAGAGATGACATGGGCCTTAAATGCACCCTTTTTTAAAAAATTCCATGTTAATCAATTTATTATTATAATGACAATACAGATTATAATGACAATTCAGTTCACCATTACATTCATGCTATGGATAACAATGCTTCTTCTATTATGAATGCTACCTGATTCTTTAAAAACACATTATTTATGTCCTGGCTGGCTTACTCATTTGGTTAAAGCATTTTCCCAATACACAAAGGATGCGGGTTCATTCCCGGGTTATTGCACATACATGAGTCAACCAATTAATGCACAAATAAGTGGAACAACAAAATTCTCTCTCTCTCTCTTTCTCTCTCTTAAAACAATAAGTAAATAAAATGAAACATGTTACTTACTATCCTTGGATATTTGGGCACAATTAATGAAATAAAAGATTATAAGACACTTCAAAATTTTTTACTAAGTAAAGTATCTAATTTTTTACAATTTACACTCACCTTTCCATTTTAATAACGGAAACAATGACATTATTTCACTACTTGATATTAAACAATAACAAGTATCATGCATTTGTGTGTGTTTTTTTAGTGAATAGAGAATATTACAGTTTTCATTTCCCTTTCTTACTTATATCATATCGTGACTTCATAGCATTTCCCATCAGAACTTCTTCTGTGAAGAAAAACAGTCCCAAATGAAGGCTGTGCAGGGCTCATAGGAACAGCAGGTGATACTAAGTCCTGTAGGGAAGGACAGGACCTGCCTCTGGGCTGTGGGATCATCCTGAGAGGAAGCATCCTGATGTCTGGATGCATCGGGTTTCCGAGGAGCTACTGCCACAGACAGTGCTCATCTGTTTGGCTCTCCTCAAACACCCATTCTCTTCCTCCTTCTCCATCCAGACACAAACGTGTTTCTTTATAAACCTGGCCCGTCTCCAAGGTGAGTGGGGACATATCAAATGCACGCCATTGGGATTCAAACCCTAGTCCAGTACCTGTGGCTTCTATAAACCTTTCAGTGCCCAATGCCCATAGAGCACATGCAGTCAAGGAGATTCATCCCTAAAGCTTCTAGTTGCTTCCTGTTTTTTGTTGGTAAACTTTTCTTTCATACCCAGAAGGCATTCTGAAGTTGAGCCACGACCAGGTTCAATTCCAACTTGTATCCCAGATTCAGCAGCAAGTACCACACAGTCCCTTTAACAAGAAATGTTAAAGATGAAACTGGGTAAGGATTCAATGAGTCTTGTGAAAGAACTGGTTTCCCTTTTGCAGTTCCCTGCAAATGAATGTTATTCCAAGGGAGTCCTATTTCTTTGCACTAACTGCCTCGACATCAGATGACCAGCCATGGCTGCCTTAGTGTCTTTGGCAGAGACGAACTACTAGGGCTGCTGGTGGTACCTCCAGGAGCCATTCCACTCAGCTGGGCAGCCAAGTGTTGCAGGAAAAGGCCAGGCGCACCCCCTCCATTGCTGGCACCAAGCAGACCCATTTGATGGGGGAAAACTAAAACCCTCTCTTTGCAAAATTACCTCTCTGTGCCTCAGTTTCCTCATTTGTTATAGGCTCTCATATTACAGGTTGGTTGTGAGGGTTACATGTATGACACATGCAAACTGCTGGGCTCAAGGCCCGCTCAGAGTGTGCACTTGGTCAATGAAAGCTGTTGTTGATAAATACTGACCGGAGACGTTAAAGATGAAACTGGGTAAGGATTCGATGAGTCTTTTGCAAGGACTGGTTTCCCTTTTGCAGTTCCCTGCAAATGAATGTTATTCCAAGGGATGTTCTATTTCTCTGCACTAACTTCCTCATCATCAGACGACCAGCCATGGCTGCCTTAGTGTCTTTGGCAGAGACAACTCCTCGGGCTGCTGGTGGTACCTCCAGGAGCCACTCCACTCAGCTGCGCAGCCAAGTGTTGCAGGAAAAGGCCCAGTGCACCCCCTCCATTGCTGGCACCAAGCAGACCCACTTGATGGGGGAAAACTAAAACCCTCTCTTTGCCACATCAAATTACCTCTCTGTGCCTCAGTTTCCTCATTTGTTATAGCTCTCACATTACAGGTTGGTTGTGAGGGTTACATGACACATGCAAAGTGCTGGGCTCAAGGCCCACTCGGGGTGTGCACTCTGTCGATGAAAGCTGTTGTTGATAAATACTGACCGAGCCCACAGGCTCCCAGATGGTGAATAAATACCTGCTCTGTGCTTCCCTCCAGGAGGGGCAGGTGAGGAGCTGCAGGTGATTCAGCCTCAGAAGACAGTGTCTGTCGCAGCTGGAGAGACGGCCACTCTGAGCTGCACCATGACCTCCCTGATCCCCGTGGGGCCCATCCGGTGGTTCAGAGGGACAGGGCCAGGCCGGGAGTTAATCTACAATGTAATAGGCCACTTCCCCCGAGTAACAAGTGTTGCAGATGTCACGAGGAGAGAAAACTTGGACTTTTCCATCCGCATCAGTAACATCACCCCAGCAGACACAGGGACCTACTACTGTGTGAAGTTCCGGAGAGGAGGTGGTGATGACACGGAGCTCAAGTGTGGAGCAGGCACTCAGCTCAGCGTGAGTGGTGAGTACAGGGGGCATCCTTTGTCCTTCATGTGTGACACAGTCAATAAAGATGCCCTCAGTTCTGTGAGCAACAACTAAGAGTCAGGTGTGGAGGTGGGGGCTTACAGTCCTGCTCTGATTCATGGTCTGATTTCACCCCGTCTGCAGACCAGGGAAGCTGAGGTCTGGAGATGTCATACTATTTGCTCAGCCCCCATGGCTGGTCAGTTGTGGGAAAAGTCTGGAACCCCCGCTTGTCTGGCTCCCCAGCCCTGGCCTTTCAATCCTGTCCAGCCCCTTGGTTGCAGGGATGAGAGAACTGACAGCTGAGTGACTTGCCCATCACAAGGCCAGACCTCACCCACCTCCAGGGAGTGCTCCCCTCAATGTGGCCAAGGCTCCTCCTTAGTGACACCCACTGGGCACCTGCTGTGAGCCAGGCTCAGCGCTGGGTGCTGAGGCAGCTGCAGAACAAAGCAGGCAAAGGCTCTTCCCCTCGAAGCTTCGTTGTCTTCCCTCCAGTGGGAGAAACTCACTGAGGGCAGGGAGTAGAGAAGGTGCTGCTTTATCTCAGCCTCAGAAACATCACAGGAGAAGGAAAGCCTGAGAGGCCCAACTCACTGTTCACTCTGGCAGCCCCGCTGGGAGGAGATGCCCAGAAGTGGGTGATCACAGTGGGTCTGTCTGGAAACCCCCTTTATTCCAGAATCCCAGTCACTGTCATGAAGCCTCCAAGCAGAGTTGGGTCGTCTCAGAATGTCCCTCACCCATGGAAGAGGCTCCCCATGTGGGAGACTTAGAGATCGTTCCATTGAGGCAACACCGCTCTCCTTGAGGGTGTTTTACCAGAGGCCCAGGATCCTGAATCCTGGAATGTGAGCACGTGGGGACCTTCAGACCATCCAGCCTGACTCCCCATGTACAGAGGGGTACCTGAGGTCAAAAGGTGAAGGGACTCTGTCCAAAGTCACATGGCCAGTGAGTTAGGAGAATGTTCCAGGACCCCATCTGATTTTAGGGGCTTTTTCCTGCTTCAAAGACAGATGCTCTTTCATCAAAAAGCCTGGTGAATACAGGCACTGAATAAAGCTCATTCCAGCACACCATTGAACAGGGCGCCAGCATCTCTTACATTCACTGGTACCCAGAGCTTCACATGCCCCTCACACTCAGACTTTGAGGCCCAAGGTGACTGGGAACCTCTCCCTACCTGCAGCCACAGCGCCCTAATGGAGCATCCACATCAGCACCTAGAGCTGCCCCTCCTTCAACAGCTGCCTCCCCTCCAGCCTGTGGAGACAGCATCGTTCATTCACTGTCTTCTGTTGGTGGATGTGAGTTGTTCCCAGCCTTGGGCTATTCACACAGTGACACGGGATACCCTTGTCCATGGGTCACTCTATTCAAGAGGGAGGCGCCCACGGGAAGTGGCATTGCTAGGTCACAGGGTGTGTGCATTTTAATTTGTGTGGGAATTGCCAAATTTCTTTCCTAGACATGGTGGCAATGGGGTCTCCCCACAATTCCTGGACACAGGCAGGGAAGGTGGCTTATCCTGATTTACATATATTACTAAGATACCAGACTGTGTCCCTTGCCGAGGCCATCGCAGGTGTCATTGGCTCCATCACCACTGAGATCTGCTGCCTCCTGGTGGAGAGCTCGTTCCCCTTCCTGAGCTACTTGCCCAGGTGATGCCCTGGCTGAGAAAGCAGGAGGTGGGAGAGGTCATGGGTCATGTCTTCATTTACTCCTACAGCCAGTGCTGCGAGGGAGGGGCCATCATTGCTCCTTTGTTAGATGAGGACACTGATGCTCAGAGAGGGAACCTGAACTGAGCAGGAAAAGGAACTAAGATTTGAACCACAAACAACATAACTCACAACGCCTGCTCGCCTCAATCCTACACTGTGCTTGTCAAAATGTAGAGAAAGCTCTAACCCTTTTCTTAGAATCGTGCATTTTTATGTTCTTCAGAAAAAAAGAATTTAAAAAAGTCCTCTGGGGGAGGCAGGTGTAACTTTCCAACTGAGATGAGACAGATCCTCAAATGTCCCATGATATGGCCTGAAACTATTCCTACAGGACATGGCTCAGCATAGAGAAGCATCCAGGAGGCCTTTCCCTTCTTTGTGGTGTTTTCCTCACTAAGCAGCCACAGGAGCCGCCTGGCACAGTGGCCTGGACAGAGCAGAGAGGGGTCGCTGAGCCCCAGCACCGCCGTGGGCAGCATCCCTGTCTCTGCAGACTGAGGGAGAGGAGGGGGCATTTCCTAGAGGGCCCTGTGGCCCCAGTGAGCAGCAGTTCATAGTCTAGACTCACTGTCAGGAGCCCATTCTCCCATTTATTGCTGCAGGGCCCCCAGCCTGGGCACTGGAGGGCACTCCTCCCTGGAGCAGGTGGCGGTCAGGGTTAGGCTCCTCAAGGTGGGCACTTGCTATGCTGATGGACGTGAACACCTGGGAGGCCACAGGAAATACCTGTGGGCACAGTAGTGGCCGAGGGCACAGTCCCTTCATTTCTCTCAGTTTAGTTTTCTCATCTTTTAAATCAGCAGTTCTCAACCTGTGGGTCGCCAACCTGTGGATCGCGACCCCTTTGGGGGTCAAACGACCCTTTCACAAGGGTCGCCTAAGACCATCGGAAAACACATATATAATTACATATTGTTTTTGTGATTAATCACTATGCTTTAATTATGTTCAATTTGTAACAATGAAAATACATCCTGCATATCAGATATTTACATTACGATTCATAACAGTAGCAAAATTACAGTTATGAAGTAGCAACAAAAATAAGTTTATGGTTGGGGGTCACCACAACATGAGGAACTGTATTAAAGGGTCGCAGCATTAAGAAGGTTGAGAACCACTGCACTATAACCTCTGAGCCTCAGTTTCTTCGTCTGTAAAGTGGGAGGGGGTAGAGTAACAGTGTCTATCTGTGCCCAGTGCCTGAAACACCTGACTGATAGGAGGAGCTCAACAAATAGTCACCTGGAAGGTGACCTGGAGTGAATACAGACTTAGACCAAGATTTTCTTGAACATTGTAAACTTAATTCATTTTAATCTCTGCATGCCCCGTGACCCTAGCACAGGACCGGCACAGGACTGGTGCGGGAGAGCACTTGCTGGGAGAGTTGGAAGCAGCCATGGATGGGCAAGTGGGCACAAAGATGTGTGCACGGGTGGGTGGATGGACAGGCATGTAGCTGGATCAATGATGGATGGAGAAGTCGGACATCTGGGTGTATAAATGTGTGCTAAGTGGGGGGAGTGGAGGGATGGTGGGTGGGTGGGGTGAGGGTAGAAGAAATAAATACGGGACACGCCCTCATTGTGATCTGTCTGCTGGAGGGCTTCAAGATGGAGTGAACCCAGAAAGCACGTATCAGCAGGCCAAGGCCCACGTGAGGCAGCAGCTCTGCCTTTACGAGTGTGTTCTCCAGGCTAACCCACACGGGGATGGTGTGGCCAGGACACAGGTGACCTGCACCACTGTGTGCAGTAATGACATGTGGAGGCGGCTTCGACTTTATCACTCCGAGCAGGAGGGAGGCCTGGACTAGGGCCTCACACCTTAGAACAGCACCTGGTGGGGGCAGGCGATTCGTCCGTACCTTGGAATTCTGTGTGGCCATTAAAAATGGAACGGCTCTTTATGTCTTGAGTGGAATAAACTCTGATATATCATTAAGAGGGGGGGAAAAATCAAGGTTCAGCTAGTGTGTGTACAGTGCTTTCGTTTTCTGGTTTTTAAGGGGTGGCAGGGAGAAGACACGTAGATATTTGCTTCTCCAAGATGAGCGCCCCCCCCACCCCCCGCCGCCAGGAGACTGGTGACTGGTCCTCCCAGGAAGGGCGCCGGGCCTGGGGA